CCATCATGCTGCTTCATGCCTGTCCAGAGTTCTCGTCCATGGGTCCCTGATACGGCCTCCCATTGCTGCATAGTCCTCCATCGCCACATGGGGCTCAGCCATGTGCCACTTTCAGGTCTCCTCACACACTGCTGGTAGGGATGTGTTCAATTTTTTGACCATAGCCGGGGTGCTGGCAGATTACGGGCCTCCCATAGCTGCTGCAGGCCCCTAAACTCTGCCATGGGCCCCTATACCTGCCTCCCTCATGCTGGACTGCCATCAGATCCATAGTCTGCATGGTCCCAGGGCTACGGCCATCCATTGCTGCTTGTCATCCATCGCCACACTCTGCCATGTGCCCCACTTTCAGGTTCTCCTCACACACTGCTGGGTGTTTTCAAATTTTTTTGACATAGGGTGCTGGCAGATTACGGGGTGAAGCCTCCCATAGCTGCTGCCAGGCCCCTAATCTGCCATGGGCCCCTGTACTGCCTACCCTCCAAGCCTCATGCTGCTGCCATGGGTCCAGGTCCACAGTCTCTCATCATGCCATGTGCCACTTTCAGGTCTCCTCACACTGCTGCTGGTGTGTTCAATTTTTTGACATAGGGTGCTGGCAGATTACGGGCCTCCCCATAGCTGCTGCCAGGCCCCGTAATCTGCCATGGCCCCTCAGATTACCGCCGCCTCCTCATTAGCTGCTGCCACGGTCCCAGAGTCTGTCATGGGTCCCTGTACGGCCTCCCATGCTGCTGCTGTCTCCATCGCCACACTCTGCCATGTGCCACTTTCAGGTCTCCTCACACTGCTGGTGTGTTGAATTTTTTGTCATAGGGTGCTGGCAGATTACGGGCCTCCCCATAGCTGCTGCCAGGCCCCTAATCTGCCATGGGCCCCTGTACCCCCGCCATGCTGGCTGCATAGGTTCCAGCCTTCTCATGCTGCTATGCCAGGTCCACAGTCCTGCTGTCTCATGCCATGTTTGTGCACTTTCCAGGTCTCCTCACACTGCTGGTGTGTGTTCAATTTTTTGTCATAGTGGTGCTGGCCAGATTACGGGAAGTCCTCCCATAGCTGAGTGCTGTAGCCGGGGGCCCCTACATCTAAGCCTCGAGGGGTAGGGGGGGGGTGCGCCGCCCTCATGGGAGCCCTCGTATGTCGCTCCCATCTGGCGACTGATCAATATTAACAGGCTCGTCAATGCACATGTGCCACTGTACAGGTCCCTCAAACATGCTATGCTGTCCTTCCATCGCACACACTCTGACCAACATATTGCCACTGGGTCTCCTCACAATAGCTAACTGCCAGGCCGGAGTGTTCATTGATTTTTTTGTGACAATAGGGTGCTGGCTAGAATTACGGGCCTCCCATTAGCTGCTGTGCCAGGCCCTAATCTGCTGGGACAGCCCTGGGCCTCCTATACCGCTGCACGTGTGTTCATGCTCGATCTGCTATTGCCATAGGACTCCAGAAGTCCTGTCATGGGTCCCTGTACGGCCCGACCATGCATTGCTTGACCTGTCTCCATCGCCACACTCTGCCATGTCTGCCACATTTCAACGGTCATCACCTCACACACTGTCCTGCTGGTGTGTTGAATTTTTTGACATAGGGTAGCTTGGCAGATTACGGGCCTCCCATACGCTGCAGGCCTGATACCCCTAATCTGCCATGGTCCCGACTGGTACCGCCTCCTCATGCTTCTTGCCACGGTGCCACAAGTCTCTCATGCCAAGTGCCACTTTCAGGTCTCCTCACACTGCTGGTGTGTTGAATATTTTTTGACATAGGTGGTGCTGGCAGAATTACGGGCAGTCTCCCAGTAGCTGCTGCCATGCCCGCTAATCTGCCATGGGCCCCTATTAAGACCGCCTCCTCATGCGTGCTGCCAGGCATCCCAGAGTCTTTCATGGGTCCCCTGTACAAGCCTCCCAATTGCTGCTGTCTCCCATACGCCACGAAGGTACTCTTCCATGTGCCACATTGGCAGGACTCCTCACACATGCAGTGTGTTTTAATTTTTTGACTCTAGGTGTGCTGGCATATTACGGGGCTCCAATAGAGCTGCTTGCCCGGAGTCCCCAAATCTGCCAATGTCCCTAATACGCCCTCCTCATGCTGCCAGGTCCTAAGTGTCTCATGCCTCATGTGCTCACTTTCGAGGTCACCTCACTTCTCACCCACAGTGAACCCCTCAGTGTAAAGAGGAACAGAGAAATTCGACCTTCATAGAGCTGCTGACAATTGGCCCGCAATCTGACGAAATCGAGGCTCACCATTGATAACTGACAACGGACCTGCCAGTGCCAAGTGAACTCATGGTGTCTGACACTCCGTCAATTAGCCAGGTTGTGCATCGCCATGCACGGCACGTGGCACGTGTGTCCAATCTGGTTGTGGACAATGCGTTCCTAACTAATCTCACCATCCCACGGTGGCACAGAACCATCTCCATAAAAATGTCACGTAAATCTGCTTGCATGCATTTCAGGCCTCCATTCCTACACCTGCAAAGCCACTACCCTCCTTGACTTGGCCCCGGCTGACCGGTTCAATTATGGTGCCTTCGCCAACAAAAAGCATCTGCCTGTAATCTTCCACGTTGCAACAAGGTGGAATTCAACCCTACATATGTTAGACAAACCGCCTATACGAACAGCCGAAAGGCCATCACCGATTTCCTGATGTTACAAGCGTATAAAGGTACTCGATAGCCCCTGTGTAACTTAGATGTTCAGCCATATGCAGCTCATGCGTGAACACCTGCGCTTGCACAGGCCATAGCTTAGAGTTATGGCCACATCGGCTATTTCGTGAGTCCTGCAGACTGATGGGTAGAGAACGACTTCAATTACCTCATGTTGCACGTCCTGGAACAAATTCTGTAAATATATGCTGGATCAGGTGCGGTAGAACGAGGCGCACCTGGAGCCAGATCTCAACGCCACATGTACCCATGTGGGGGCAGTGACAGGAAGAAGAGGTAGGAGAGTAGAGGTAGGACATTGAGGTGCTCACCGATAAATTATTGAGTGAAAATCTGGTGGTTTTTCCACCTCAGCTGAAAGACTCGTAGGAGTGGAGGAGCAGGATTGCATCGTGTGGTAAGAGGTAGAGGGAGAACTGGATTGTACCGCAGGACCCTAAGACGCACCTGGTGTGGCAGTAAAGCTGTGTGAGATGGTAGGTTCAGGCGTGAGTCCCACAGTCCTCACAATGCATTCCATGTGCACAAAACATGGCCCATAGCATGCTCTGCATTGCTTGCGTACCGATTTCCTTTGAATAATAACCATCAGATTAGAGGGATGACCATTTGCTGCATTGCCAAGGCCACCTAATCTGCTATGGACCCCTATAACCGTTCCAAAATGGTGGCCTTTTCACACCTCGCTGAGAGGGAGGCCCTGTAAAAACGTACATTAAAAACTGCTGTCTCCATCTGCACAGTCAGCTGGTCTCTGCCTTTCTGCGCCAACTTTCCATGGTCTCAGACACTGATGTGTGGGGAATGGGTAGGTTTGGACCCTAGATGCGCTGTGTTCGATATGACGCTGCCGCATGAGTCAGCAGGGTGCTGGGGTGGGTGGTAGAGCAGTGGCAGCTCCACCAGCAGCATCTGCCATCGAGTCCTGCAGTCCCATATTGTGATGAGTAGCCCTTCTTCATCCAGCCGCATATGAGGGTCTCAAACAGAGGATAACCACTGCCGTGCCATGTACTCCAGCTAGCACTCTGCCAGTCACTTCATGTCTGGACCTGCGTGATCATGAACCTCATTTTTGACAACAGGCTTAAGGCCTACTTGGCACAGCACCTGCCAACCGAGTAGACAATCCCCTTATTCTGTCCATGGGCAAAACGAAACCGCGTTATACACCCTCATGGCCCCAACAAGGAGTCTAAATTGCCTTGGGTCCCTAGTACGGCTGTCATGCTATGTCCGCCCCAGTAGCGTAGGCATCTGGAGCGCATTGTTCCAGTTGCGGCAGGATCTCCTCAACACCACTGCTGTAGTGTTCACGATTGTTTGACTCCATAGCTGTGTGGCAGATTACGGGACTCACGATATGTGAAAGGCGAATCTCAGGCAGCGATGTACGCCTCGCTCTGATTCACTGCAACCACTCAGTTCCATGATAGGCAACTGTGTCCCAAATGCCGTCTCATGAAACATGCGCCCAAACATGCATGTGCCACTTTCAGGTCTCCTCACACTGCATGGTTTGTAGTGTTCCATTTTTTGTCATAGGGTGTGGCCAGATTAACGGGCCTTCCATAGCTGCTGCCAGGCCCCTAACTGCCATGGGCCCCTGTATAACCTGCCTCCTCATGCTGCATGCCGAGGTCCAGAGTCTTCATCATGGGTCCCTGTACGGCCTCCCATTGCTGCTGTCTCCGCCAATCGCCACACTCTTGCCATGTGCCACTTTCAGGTCTCCTCACACTGCTGAGAGTAGTTGAATTTTTTGGACGATAGGGTGCTGTGCAGATATACGGGCCTCCCATGAGCTGCTGCCAGGCCCCGTAATCTGCCATGGGCCCCTATATAGACCGCCTCCTCATGCTGCTGCCATAGTCCAGAGTCATTGTCATGAGGTCCCAGTACTGCCTCCCATTGCTGCAGTCTCTATCGCCACACCTCTGCCATTGTTGCCACTTTCAGGTCACCTCACAACACTGCTGGTGTGTTAATTTTTTGACATAGGTGCTTGTTCAGATTACGGAGCTCCCATAGCTGCTATGCCAGGCCCCTAATCTGCCATGGTTCCCCCTATAAATACCCGCCTCCTCATGCTGCTCCAAAGGTCCAGAGTCTGTTCATGGGTTCCCTGTACGGCCTCCCATTGCTGCTGTCCTCCATCTCGCCACACACTGCCATGTGCCACTTTCATGTCTCCTCACACACTGCTGGTGTGTTGAATTTTTTTGACAAGGGTGCTGGCAGATTACGGGCCTCCCATAGCTGCTGCCAGGCCCCTAATCTGCCATGGGCCCCTATATACCGCCTCCTCATGCTGCTGCCAGGTCCAGAGTCTGTCATGGGTCCCTGTACGGCCTCCCATTGCTGCTGTCTCCATCGCCACACTCTGCCATGTGCCACTTTCAGGTCTCCTCACACACTGCTGGTGTGAGATAGGGTTGAAATTTTTTGACAATACTGGGTGCTGGCAGATTACGGGGTCCTCCCATAGCTGCTGCCAGGCCCCTAATCTGCCATGGGCCCCTATATACCGCCTCCTCATGCTGCTGCCAGGTCCAGAGTTCTGTCATGGGTCCCTTGTACGGCCTCCCATTGCTGCCAGCTGTCCAGAGTCCATCGCCACACTCTGCCATGTGCCACTTTCAGGTCTCCTCACACACTGCTGGTGTGTTGAATTTTTTGACATAGGGTGCTGGCAGATTACGGGCCTCCCATAGCTGCTGCCAGGCCCCCAATCTGCCATGGGCCCCTATATACCGCCTCCTCATGCTGCTGCCAGGTCCAGAGTCTGTCATGGGTCCCTGTACGGCCTCCCATTGCTGCTGTCTCCATCGCCACACTCTGCCATGTGCCACTTTCAGGTCTCCTCACACACTTGCTGGTGTGTTGAATTTTTTGTCATAGGGTGTCTGGCAGATTACGGGCCTCCTATAGCTGCTGCCAGGCCCCTAATCTGCCATGGGCCCCTATAAAGACCGCCTCCTCATGCTGCTGCCAGGTCCAGAGTCTCTCATGGGTCCCTGTACGGCCTCCCCATTGCTGCTGTCTCCATCGCCACACTCTGCCATGTGCCACTTTCAGTCTCCTCACACACTGCTGGTGTGTTCCATTTTTTGTCATAGGTGCTGCAGATTACGGGATTACGGGCCAGGCCCATCTTGCTGTTGCCAGGCCAGAGTCTGTAATCTGCCATGGTCCCCCGTACCGCCTGGTCACGGCTGCTGCTGGGTCCACAGTGTGACATGGGTCCCTGTAATGGGTTCCAGCCTCCTATTGCTCCCACTCTGCAATGTGCCACTTTCAGGTCTCCTCACACTCCTGCTGGTTTCCATTTTGTCATAGGTTGCTGGCAGATTACAGGCCTCCCATAGGTGCTGCCAGGCCCCAAATCTGCCATGGGCCCCCGTACCGCCCATCGTCACGCTGCTGCTGGGTCCCCACAGTGTGACATGGGTTCCCATTGCTCCCACTCTGCCATGTGCCACTTTGAGGTCTCCTCACAATCCTGCTGGTTTCCATTTTGTCATAGGTTGCTGTATGGCCTCCCATTGCTGCTGCCTCCACCGCCACACTGTGGCTCCAAACACTGGTTTTGGCCCCCGTGACTGGCCAAATGAGTGAAGTGTGCGGTGATTCTAAGATCGACGGCACTCATCTGCATGTCATACTGACTGACAGTATTATTTCTCTTCCCCAGCAGACTCCAAGACATTTAAATTAAAGGTACAGTGTTCTGCACTAATATTAAGTCTCTCTGAAGCCTAGAAACACCCTTTTTTAAGTTAAATTCACAGCGAATATATTCGACTCGAATCGAATATTGTCCACGAATTCGCCGAAATCAGTCGAATCGAATTTTTGAATACTTCGCTCATCTCTAACTTCTATAATTAGTCCTATTCAAAAGAGTAGACCACAAGAATATTGGGTTTTAGGACAGGGCTTGACAAATCCTAGGCACCTGTCACCATGGCGTCAAAATCGCATCCTATAGACTTCAATGCAAAATCACCTCCCATAGACTTCAGTGCAAAAACGCATCCCATGGACTTAAATGCAAAATCAAGTCCCACAGACTTCATAGCAAAAAACAGCTTCCATAGATTTCAATGCAAAAATAGCTCTCATTGACTTCAATGCAAAAATGCCTCCCATAGACCGCAATGCAAAAACACGCTCCATTCACCTCAATGTGAAAACTCCTGTCAATAGCAATCCTATGTGTACACTTACTGCCACTCTACTCCATCACTTGCAAGTCTGGAATGCACTGCACAGGACCCTTTTTGTAATGGCACTTAGAATGCTATGTGTGTAGATTGCATCTATGTGACTCACCTCAATGGGAACACATAATATCTAGCCTGTCATGCAAATCTGTGAGTTTGAAAACGCATCCAAAATCGCATATGTATGAACCAGGGCGGCTCCATTCACACCTGGGCATATTGGGATAATGGCAGAATCACTGCGATCTCAAAACACAGGTGCAGGTGCCATTATTTTCAATGGCACCTAAAACGTGGTGTCGTTTTGCTGTGATTGTCGTGCCCGAAAATCGCATGAAACTTGTGGCCCAAAAGTTGCCTTGCCCCGGGTGCTGACAACCCATGCTACATTACAAAAAAAACCCGGCTCCTATCTTTTTTAGCTGGCTCCTAGATTCAAAGCAAATTTGTCAAGCCCTGGTTTAGGATATACAAATCCAGTAAATGCATAAAAATAGAACACTGGAAAAATAGAAATAATCAATTAGCAATGTTTAACCACTTCAATACTGGGCACTTTTACCCCCTTCCTGCCCAGGCCAATTTTCAGTTTTCAGCGCTCTCACACTTTGAATGACAATTGCGCAGTCAAACAACACTGTACCCAAACTAAAATGTTATCATTTTGTTCACACAAACTGGAGCTTTCTTTTGGTGGTATTTAATCAACACTGGGGTTTTTAGTTTTTGCTAAATTAACAAAAAAAAGACCCAAACTTTTGAAACAAAATCCACGTTTTTCTTTGTTTCTGTTATAAAAGTTTGCAAATAAATAATTGCTCTTCATAAATTTAGGCCAATATGTATTCTGCTATATTTCTTTGGTGAAAATAACTCAAAACAGTATTTATTATTTAGTCTGTAGGAAAGGTATAGAGTTCACAAGCTATGGGATATATCTGAAAATGTATCAATCCTGAAGTACTGACAGCCAATCTAATTTCTTGAGGTCCAAGAATGTCAGAACAGTACAGATATCCCTCAAATGACCCCTTTTTGCAAACTAGACAGTCCAACGTATTTCATAAGAGGCATGGCGAGTTTTTTGAAGTTGTAACTTTTTTGTCATAATTTTTCAGAAAATGAAGAAATTAAAAAAATTATTTTCACAATTTTTTTTTACATACTGTCACCAGTGCAGTACAGCGTCATCATATAACTGCTTGTGGCGGTAATCAGGGGCACTGACTGGTGACAGTGTGAAAAAAAAAAAGATAATTTTTTTTATTATTATTATTTAATTTTTTTATTACATTTGTTCTCTTTTTTTAAGATTTTTTTTTCATATTACACTATGACCAAAGTAGTATAATGTTACCATAGTAACATTCTCCTACTTTGGAGAAGTGATCAGTATTTTTTTTTACACAGTTTGATTGCCTATATTTCTTTGCTATAAGCAAGCATTTAACTGAATGAAATTCATTAATTCAGGTTTATTTTGTTGTGAATAGCTGTGATTGGCCACGGCAGATGGGCTGTGATTGGCCAAGCCTGTGCATGTGATCCCTGTGACCATTCACAGCTAGACACAATTGTATACAATGGATGGCATGAAAGGAAGCCATCCACTGTTTACAACTGTCATGTGACCTGCTGTGATTGGTCACAGCAGGCCACATGGTACTGGCAATGGGGCCAGTACATAGATCTGTCATCGGCTGTGTCCGAGATACACAGGCAATGATAGATCACGCGCTGAGCACGATCCAGGAATGACGTCATATGACACCCTCCTGAAGGGACGAAGTGTTCACCCGGTCGTCATTTGACTGTAGGCCGGGCAGCAAGTGGTTAACATACAGTCATGAGTATTAAGCTTCAACTATTAGTCCTCATGCACACTTGACGTTTTTACAGGTGCTGTTTTTTACTTTTGACTTTTTTTCTACAGCTAGTAAACCCCCCCAGCATGTTATCCTATGTGTCCATGCACACATAGACTGTAATCAATGTTTTTTGCCTGGAAAAAAACCCAGCGACTAGTGGGTTTCTAGAGGAGTTTATTAGCTGTAAAAATGTTCTACTGCTGAAAAATGCTGCAAACCTGTGTTTTTGGATGTTTTTTGACAAACCCCCCCCCCCCCCCAATTTTTTTCTCTGTAAAAAAAAAAACGCTACAAATCGCAAATGCAGCAAAACTCCGCTAAACAATAATGCAAAAATGCTAAAAAAAGCTGAAAAACAGTTACTGGTGAAAATATTGCTATATTGTACTATATTTAATATTGTTCCTTTTGTATGTACAAATGTTCTGTAATTGGACAACATATTGTAATGGTACAAGGTAGAACATACAGTATATATGACTATCCAACTATACAGACAAGACCAGAGCTCGGTTTTTATTCAAGCCATTATTTTAGATGTAATTCTAATAAATATGTTTTTACTAATTTTTTGAATCTATTTGACATATTTTTTATATAAATTTTCTTGTTGCTGCAAGAAAGTCCCAGGGGAGTTGTACTTGTTTTCTTGGGATGAAGCTGCAGTTTATTCACAAGCACATTACCCTTCTTTTCTGTACACACAAGGGTAAATAGTGCCAAAATATGGAGCTCCCCTGAGCAGTCACAGTCCTAGGACCAACTCCTGATGTAGGTAGCACCTGGCTTGTGCGAATTACATCTCACCACTCCAAATATGATCAATCCAATTCAGTCAGTCATGACCTTCTGTATTCCACTGCCATTGCATGATTCCATTTGTGGCTTCATAGGTGGTATCTTGAAAAATCCCATGGTCCTGTACCTAATATCCAGCAGGAGGCAACATGATGGAAAGCCACATGGGGCAGCCTGGAGCACCAGCGTGGTGATGATGTGACATAAATGCGTTTCGCTCACTGAGTTATGTGAGCTTCTTCAGGATGCTGCGGCTATCGTATTGAGGGCTTAAATAGAAGCCAATGTCACTTCCAAATTGTTCCTCTCAAAGCCCCAGCTTCAGTATCACAAAAACATCTAAAACTGGTACTATATATATTATATATAACAAGTGAGTAAATTGTTTTGAGTATACTATATCATATGACACATACCCAAACAGGCATTCTTGTGTGTCCTCATAAATACCAAAGATAGTGGATGTGTAGATTAAGGTTCCAAAAACACCTGTAGGCTCAGTTCCATATTGAGTCCTTTTGATGCCAATGACCCCAATATGAAAATCCACTCCTTTTTCTTCCGCAGAAGGACAGTGTTAAATTCACCTCTGCGGCTGGAAAGGTTCAACACATAAAATGCCTTAGAAATCATGAATGTGCTTCTGGCGCCGCTGAAGACTGACAGAAAACAAAGATCACCCTGCTGGCACAGAAGAAAGAATGGAAGCAGCGTCCCAAGTAACTCCAGACACTTAGTGGTATATATGGGATGGGAGACTTTGACCAAGCCCCCTATGGGGGGGGGGTGAAACGCATCAGAGGGCATGGCCAGAGGCCATCCTACTACATCCTGTTCTTCTCTGACTCCTGGGGTTCAGTATGAGCGCCATCCATCCTCATTTATACATAAAATGGCTTGACTTTGGTATGAGGAATTATGAAATTTAGCAAAATGTGTAATTGGAACTCTTAGTTGGCATTTGGTTTTACCAATATAGATTTCATTGCAAGGACATTCAAACAT